AAACAGTGAATTACGCGTAAAACGAGTTTTTCACGTAAAACGATGTAATCTTTGCGATAAAACTCGCCAAGCATTTTCAATTCACTTCACGTAAAACTGCAATATTCACGCCCGTTATAACCTGATCAAAATCGTCCGCTGAAAGCCCGGGTCCAGGCGTTTGCATCTCGACAAAGTGGATAGATTCGCCGCATCCCCCGCCTCTTCCACACATATCATCACATTTCGAGTATCTTGCATAAATCTCAATACCTGAAAAATAATAATAATGGAATTTCACGATTACCCGTTTAAAACGCGATATTCGCGGTGATATGCAGTAGTCGTGAAATATTTTTTTCATATCACTAGGGTGGTGAAACTCAATTAGTAGAGTTTCACACATTTAACGTGAAGTGGCGTAATATTCTACGTGGAAATTATAAGACTACGACTGATAACACCATGGGAGTTTTAAAAACATATTTCACGACTATCGCAAGGCGCAAATATCGCCTTTTTCACGGAGTTTCAAGCCACTTCACGTAAAACGGGTAATCGTGAAACTCCATTGTTCTTGTTGTTATTATGTTCATTCACCCTAGTGATATAAAAAAAAAAACATATTTCACAAACAACCGCGAATATCGCCTTTTTCACATGGAGTCTTACGCGAATAAACCCAGACAACCAAAAAAATCAGCGTCACCGCACCACGAAATTACCAGGTTATCAATTTGGTCAGCAAGCTGCTGTTTCTCCTTATCGAGGGCGAAGTCTCGAAAACCGGGCAAATCGACGATTTGCATATCAACGCAAAATGGTGATTCAACACGAACATACCTGATATGAAATCTCTCAGAAAAAAATATGAAAAAAATCCCCAAAAATTTAAATTTTCTAATTCGCATTTTTTCGAAGTTTCACAAGCCTAGTGATATGAAAAACACTAGCGAAAAATATATTTCACGACTACTGCATATCACCGCGAATATCGCGTTTTTCACACTTCACGTAAAACGGGTTGTGAAACTCCAATATATACCATATAAGCGTTCCACACAGAATTTCTGCAAAAAATTTCCGAAAATATCCAAATTTTCCGCAAAATTTCCCCCTTCTTTTACACAGGCTCATCTGTTACTGAGGCCCCGAGCGACTCGTGAGCTTCACCAATGATTTGAGTAACTTCGTGAAGAGGATGTTCTTGCCATTTGTTGGTCTGAAAAAAATGGGAAATTTCCTCAGAAATAATACACGATTCCGAGCAGGCTAACGAGAATTTTTTCGAAATTTTCCGGTGTTGAAATATATGTAATCACTTTCCTCAGCTGAGCTCTGAATTTTCTCACTAATTTTACAATTTTATATGCAAACTAGGAGTGAAAATGTTCGAAAAAAACACTAATTTCCCAATTTTTTCCCAAAATTTTCTCATAATTTTCATACTTTCCCAAATATGTGATAAAATTGTAGACATTTTATTACTTTTTTATCCATAACATACCATCTCGAGTGCTTATTCTGCTGGACATTTCGAAACTCCAAAACAGTTGGTCGGCGACTTCCCATCGTGCCACTCACGAAATTGAATTGCTCACCAGCAAGCGCCTCGATGAGCCGAGACCTGAGCTGAACGATACAACGAAGAGAAAATTATATTTTCATTCGAGAGAAATAATACACATAAAATCATGATTCACCCGTTTAACGTGAAGTGAAATACCATCCCATGTGAGTTTAAGATGCATATGTCTTCGTGTGCGATAGAGCAATTTTTTTCCGAGAAGTAAATTGCGAAATATCTATGTTTTTCACTAGTGTTTTTAATATCACCAGCGTGAAACTCCAATAAACGATCCGCAAATCGTACGAGTATAGACCCCATCAGTGTTAGAGGAATATATGTAATCCCCAGCTGAGCTCTGAGTTATCCTCACTAATTATACAAGTTTTGATACGAA